GTTACCTTGGTGCTAAAAGTGTAATATAAACTTTTAAAAAATATACCAATCCAGGTGAATTTTAAGAGGAAGATCAAAATGATTTAAAAAATTAGCAATATCACATAGGCTGATTTTTACCATTTAGCTTTTCCTGATAAAATTCACCTGGCTTGGTATATTTTTCTAAAGTTTATATTACACTTTTAGCACCATGGTAACATATTCTAAAATTTGTTTTCACCTGTAAACCTTTACTGAATGTTATTTGTCTATATCTGTATTTTTCATTGAAATATTACAAATATTTTCCAAGTCTTTTTCATATTCCAGTTCTTAGGAGACAAAATTCTAAAAACAATCCACTTTTCTAAACTTGTGACATGATATTAAATCTTTTTCAAAGAAAAAAATTGTATCATCTGTCCTGAAGTCTAGTTAAACTTTACTTTAAACCGACGATTTACAAAAAAAGAGTATTAATGGTTAAAAACACAATTGTTTGACAATATTCTGAAAAAAAGATTTGATAAAAAAGTAGAAGCGATATATCGTAAATAAAGATTAAAGGTAATTATCCAAGATTACAAATATTGTAAGTAACATACCATCACATTTCCTCCCAGCCCAACCTTCAACACAGCCAACGAAACAATCCCCAGTGACAGCGTCACACGACATACTGATTCTACAGTTTGGAATGTAACAAGACGTATTACAATTCTGACCAAAGTATCCATTATGACACTCTACAAAGAACGACGAACACCACATTTTAAATATGTTGACTGATTGATTATATATTGTTTAACGACCCTCTCGAAGCTTTTCATTTATATGGAAACACCATCACTTGCCAGTTGAGAGCTGCAAATTTTGTCCTATAGTCGACTCTAAGGGTAGTTGAGCAGGGAAAGATCTTTTTCGTGCCGGCACCTACTGCGACACAGGACTTCGGTTTATTCGTTCTCATGCAAAGGACCGGTCTCCACGCACCGCAATGGGGCTCTAACCCGTGACATAAGGATCAACTCCTAACTTCGCAAAGTTCTAACAACTACGCCACGCGGATTACTAAATATTGTATAGAAGAAATGGGCATCAAGGATTGTTGATTACTTTTATTATTTTTTAACAAATAGGATCAAATTAAATTAATCTTGAATACTCGAATTCACAGAACCTAAAAACTTAAAAACTTTCAAGGGACCGGGAGTAAAGAATCTGTCACTAAGTACATCGCTGGTTTGAAACCACTTTTCTGAAAAGAAGATTTCTATTTCAAATGAAACAGACTAGACCCGGTTCTTGTGCCTCAGAAAGTGCTGACACGAAAAGCACTGTTAATAAATTCTGAAATGCGTTGATTTTGCAGCGCCCCATCGCAATTGATGGCCTCTCTATCTGAGTTATTTTTTTAACGGGAAGTTAACGACCAAACAGAATACAAACACATGCTCATAAGAAATTAATGCTTATGCAATCATTGCAACGGTGAAAAAAGTTTGCATAGTGTAATATATGTAAAGCGTGAAGAAAGGATCTGTAGAATCTTTTAGAATAGATCATATAAATGTCAAGGCAGTTTGAAATAAATATTGAAAATAGTGTGTTTTAACCTTATTTTAGCACCTTTACACAACAGGTTTTTTTTTTAATTTGAACAAACTTATTTTCAGAAATTATGCTGTCAGCTTTCGTATTATAATGTATTTTCTTCGACGAAGCGCGAATACGTGAAACTCAAACGAGGATAGTAGAACCCTGTATACAGTAATGTTGACAAAATAATGCATGGATACATTTTTTCAAGACCGATAATTCATACGTATGTGAGAGTTTAATACATCAGCCATTACTTACTTTGATCGCATTTCTCTCCTCTCCATCCAGGTGAACACTCTCCAGGACATGATCCATTTACGTGGTAACACGGTTGATTTTCAATACACTGCCCACATTGAACAGAACATCCTTGTCCATATTTACCAGCTGGACATTCTAGACAATATATATAACGAAAGTTGATGCACAAAATGATAATAGATCTTTACTTTTTTCACTTTTGTTTTGTTTATTCATGGCATGTCAAAACCTGTTATAAAACCACTTTAAAAAGTGGTCATTCTTTATTCTAGACTAAAGAGGGGATAAATTGATTCTATTTGTGTTCTTATGTAATATCCCAGTGTTGACCACAAAGACGAAATGCATGAGAATTTGAGAAGTGTTGAAAAAGCTCAAAGACAGTGGTCACTTTTGTATTGCCAATTTTTTGTCAAATTGGAGTTTTGAAAAATTACATCAACTGCGGTACACTAAATATCCGCAAGATTCTTTAACTCACAAGTACTTATTTTACATGTATTCATTTGTTGAAAATGCAGGAAAGAAAACTTATCGTCGCTGATTGATTGAAACTGTCGGTAAATATTTTTCTTACATTGTTTTAAGTAATCATGTGATATAATATCTAAGAACATTTCATGTATATCAATGTGATATAGTGTTTAATGCACACGTAACAACGTTGTAACACAAGAATATCATGTACATTGTAGAAAGGTTTCCCAAACCCAAATATACCACACAGTCTGCCATTACACTGTCATTATACCCACACTTTGGAATATTCTACACTACTGACACATTGTTTGTTCATATAAAACATTTCGATAATGAACTGTGGTCGACATAATAATCCAATAGCAACACATAATTTTGAAAACAGCACAAACCGGAATCAAGGAAATATCAGAATTCTGTTTTGGTCGCCGCAATGACCGTCACCCCAACGTATTGAACAGATATACAAATTAGTTGTTTTTTTAGACAATTTTTTAGAATTCATAGGAATATATTTTATCGAAATTGAATGGATATAACCAATGATAACAGATACAATGTTATCAGAACATAAAAGTTTTGAGTTGTACGTCACATTTCACAGAATGTGCCTTTTCCTTCCCGTGTAAGTTTTTGGATAAATCATGCTTTACGGGGACATAAAATCAAGTCGGCTTATAAAGAAGAATAATGGGGAAATTGAAAATTCGTGAAAGGCCTTGCCTCAAAAGATTACATAAATGAGAAACTCCCGCTTAAATTTGAAATCATCTTCACGGTAGAGAAGTACTACAGTGACTTTTTTTTAAAAATATGTCTTCTTGTTTCTTTTTTAATTAAATACATGATTATATATTAATTCCCAGGTTTTTAAACAAAATGGTGTCTATATTAAAAGGAAAATGTTTGATCTTTTTACTTGTCTACTTGCTACAGTCAAAAGCATGGCTGTAATTACTTTTCTTGATTTGTTGACCAATCTTTTACATTTACAGCGTTCCATAATACTTTTGAATTTAAAATTCAATGTATTTGAAAATATTGTTTTATTGTTATTTGTGACAATACTTTGATTTTACTGTAATCCTCCAGCACTGCTGAAGTGTCTGAATAAAAAAAGTAAATCAAGAGAAAAAGAACTTTCAAATTAAAAAAGTAAAGACCCATCAAATTTTCTATCTAAGAATAATTACTACAAAAATACCTTTTTCACAATACTCTCCAGTATATCCATTTTTACACTCAAAGCATTCTCCAATCTGAAAGTGGCATGTGTTATTTAAACAGTTCTGAGGACATCTCGTGCAGTTTTCTCCGTAAAAGCCCAGGTCACATCCTTCAAAAAATGCAACAAAAGAAGAACTAATAACCGATCTTCAAGATAAATTAGTGAAAAATAACAGTGTCATGTAGACACCTGTTTGCAAGTTCAAAAAGGATTTATATTACTAGCAATGTAGCAAATATTTTTCCAATGATGAACATGGCCTAAACTTAAAGAAAGTGTTACACAAACAAGAAAAACACTAGATTTTTTTTTACTCATTTCATGTAGTTCTCAATACTTCACATTTTACTTCTGGTGAAAGCTTGTTTTTTTGTCAAATGAGAAAAAAGTGAGGTTTATTTCCTTTCTCTTATGCAAAATTAAAAGTGAAGATAACCGATCACGTTTACATGTTTAAAAATACTGCACGATTTCTCATATATAAAATAAATCATGCATATGGAAAACACACTTATAATAGAATTGACGCTTAAAGCGAAGTGATTATTCATTTCATCAATTGTATACTTCAATGATCTAAAGAATAAGGCTTATAAGACAGTAAAGCTCTCTTTCCCTGATATTTATTTCGTTTTAAGCGTGTTTTTCTGTATATGAAGTTTTCGAAAAGTAGATTCGCTTCATTAAAGCAAAACACGTTCTTGTCTATATATATAAATGTTAATTTATACAGTTGTAATCCAAAATCATTTCCGAAAATTTCTTACCAGAATCAAATTAAAGAATATGGTTGTAAAATATACTTATGAAATTTACAGAAAATAAGAATTACTTTACTATGGAGTGAGTAAAACAGAGAAACAGTCAATTAAGCAATTGAATCATTTGTTTAAAAATAATGCTCTCTAAAGATTTTTAAAAAAAGTAATATAAAAATATAGGTAAAACCGATAATTTCTTAAGGTCATAATGTATGTTATCGAGAAAATTGCGTTATTTCCGTAATCAGAGGGAAAATACTTTCTCCTTACACTTTCGGAATACAAGCTAAATCAGAATATGTCTACATCAATAGCATTAGATACTACGCCTTGGATTTTAACAAGCAATCGAAATCGCGAGTGTCTAGATATTTTTGCATGTATTTTTTTTTTTTTGAAGTTTTGAGATATCGAAAAAGAAACTAATTTTTCTTTTCTTATTGTCATTTAATAGTCTGATGAAGGTTCTGTAGAAGAACAGACAGTAACACTTAAAAATAGAACATTCTTTAAAAATTATGACAGGGAATATTAAAAAAAAGATGGATAACACTTTTGTGTTTTTCAATCAATCACAGAGAAATAAAACGTTACCTTTAACTTCGATTTCACATATATTTATATAAGAAAATTCGGATACATTTGGGTAAAACGTAATATTCCTTCTATTGTAAACAGTGACGTAGCGACCGGAAGTGACACAGTCAACAGTGATGTTATTTTGGGGTCTTTGTTGAATATCGTGTTGATAACATAGAGTTCCTGACTTCCAGTCTTTTGCCTCTGATACATACACAGAAAATCCAGACAAGGTGCTGCCTTCTAGTGAGAAATAAAAGAAAAATGAATTATAACACTTCTTGTTGATTTGTGTAAAGAATAGTCTTGGCTTTGCCAAATATTTATATGATATGATTAAAATTATCTGTCCACATATTATTGCAGAAATAGCTTATTTTGAAATTCATGTTATAATACCTTTGATCAAATTTCATTTCAATATTTACTCCACGGCAGCAACCTTACTTTGACATTTTACAGCTACAGGTGATCCTGATGGACAGCCACGTGATCCCTTTGGACATGTATTTATGTTAACTTCAATTCCTGTACAGTTCAAAACATTTTCATAAAATGCAATCGATGAAGAACTTGTAGCCACGCTATGAAGCGGATTATCTCTGAAAATATCAAATAATATTTCTTTCCTACAAAAAACAAATTAGGGAAAGTGCTGAATCATATCTCAAATGAAATAAGTACTTTAATAACTAAATTAATTCGAGGAATATTCGTCTTTTATCTGCCATTTAAAATAAAATGAAAAATAATAAAAGACAAATACTCGCATTTGATTTACAGTTTAAACTTGCATGCCTCATAAAAAAGATTGGGGACTTACATTTACATCACTTAATAACAAATGATACATGTACCTATACTTTTTTACATGTAATTGTTTTGACGTCTATTAATGGTTAATATATTGTTTTAATTTCTATATCCCATGCCTTATTTTTTTTATCCAAGCTCTTTTCAAAACTGATCAATTAATATGACATGAATATAAACTTCACTGATTATCAACCTATATAATATGTAAGGTTACCACATATATTTATTTTTCCCCTCACAATACGTTAAATTTGTTTTATTGACTTTTGATCTTGAATACTGTTCATTATCTCCGTATGTTTCCTTTGACTAAGTTGCAATTTTGTTTTATTTAATAATATTTTACACACGGGTTGTGTTTTTAGAATAGCCATTTCAGGAGGATTTCTTATATGCATTTCAACACGCGTTCAAATGTAAAAAAAAACTTAATTTATTTAAAATAAAATTGATATTTGAAATATCAATATGAAGAAATGCTTAGGTACATGTAAAAAAAATTCCATCGATTGCTTTTAATTATCATCATCAGGATGAACATTGCTATCGAACTTTCAAATATAATGAAAGTCTTATAAATATGAATCCTTACGGGAGAAATCCCCAGGCCAAGCAAACGACCTGAGCATCCTTTTCTTCAAAGCTACTGGTACAGATTCTTCTTAATGGACTAGAAGCAAAGACTGATCCGTCTCCATTGGAATCAGGAAAGATACCAGAGTCAGGTGTACTTAAGTAGGATGCATTGAGACCAACTGTAAGTAACATACGTATATATAAATCTTTAAATATTTAGCATTTCGAACCATTTTCTGGAAAAATAAAAAAAAACAAACAGAAATAGCAATTGTCTATATTTCTCTTTAAAATCTTTAATATGTTTCTTGGCAAAAAAAAATACCCAACCCACCTCAATTTATTTACAGTTCGAATTAAAAAAAAGTTCAATAATATTGAAGCTTTCGATTTACAGACCAATAAATATTCTCATTATATTGATCAATGAATTGGGTTTAAAAAATGAAATAACAGCATAATATTGAACATATCTAAATGCTTACAACCCCCATGTAGGATTGATATTGATGCTATATTTTTCTTCTCCCCGAGATCCACCGTTAACCACGCCTCCTTCTGACCGGAAGCTGTCAGTGCGCAGTCCAGTAGATATGTACTCCTGTCTCCGTCCACGGCTTTACTTGGTGAAAAATATCCATTATTGTATCTAGTACTGACGCTCACAGGCTTGTTATTGGCGAGGTTTGCTTTGATAAATAATGAAAAGCAATATGTTTGACTCAAAAAAAATATTCTGACTTTTTAAAGATTAAATCAATTTGGTTTTGGCCAGTTAAGACATTGAAATGTATACATAATGCATGTATGTAAAATAACTTACCGTATTGTTGAGCATTATCAATAAATTGGAGTGAAACAAAAAATAAAAATAATTTTGTTGACTCCATATTAGAGGAAAAAGAGTGTAGTCATATGAAGGGAAAAACATCCGCATTGAATATAATAAAGTTTGTACATCCTGTCATGCGTTTCGTAGTTTATAGTCAGCATTTCGATTCGTAAACTGTATTCTTTTTATAATGATCTTGATAGCAGATGCAACGTATGATTAAGATATGGGGCTCAGTAGGGTAAATTTAGTAACCTTAGGTACAAGGCTGTTTTGTGCCTGCTTTCACAAAATCAAGAGGGAAATAAAACTGAATCATCATTCAGTCCGTCCGTCAAACAATCTGTTCGTTTGTCAGAAAAACAACAATAACCTTGGTCATAACTTTTGAATAAGAGGAGATATCACTTTTATATTTCATATGTGTATTCCCAGTGATAATACATTTATAAATATAATATGATCTCAGACAACCTGAGCTTCGTCTAGAAGGTATTTCTATTGAACTGGTCTATTGGATGTTGGACCGCTTACGGCAAAGAATAAGCTTAGCTTAATCTTATTAATTGCATTTGCTCATTAATTGATTTCCGTTGCGTCGATAGTCTAGTGGTTAATGTGCCGGACTCCAAACCGAAACGTTGTGAGTTCAAATCCTGGCCACGGCAAGTCGACGTTGTGTCCTTGGGATTGATTGTACATTGTTTAACGTCTCTCTTGAGAATATTTCACTCATATGGAGACGTCACCGTATGGTGGTGAAGAGCTTCAAATTTTGACCTATACTCGGCACTCAGGGCCATTGAGCAGTGAGGGTTCTTTATCGTGCCAGCGCCTACCGTGACACGGGACCTACGTTTTTAAGGTCATATCCGAAAGACCCGTGACTTTCACTTCTAGTGCCGAACGCTTGGCGAAGGAACAGTCACTAACTTTGTTTACGTCTTAGGTATGACGCGGCGCCGTGATCGAGAATGGAACCCGGGCCTCCCGATCACGAAGCGAACGCTCTACCCCAAGGCTACCGTGACCGGTGTGTGTCCTTCGGAAAGGCATATTACATGAATTTCCTCACTCTACCCAAGTGTAAAAAGTTATGCTTGAAAAGCGCTATGAAAAAATAATTTTTATTATATAATGTTATTATTTTCATACATTGGCGTTCAGCAGTGATCAACCTGATGTCAATTCACGGAGAACAATGCAAAATACATGCATTTACCCTAACAAAAAAATACTGTAGTTAACTATAGTTAGCTATAGTTAACTATAGTTAACTATAGTTTACTATAGTCAACTATAGTTATAACTTTGACACTTTGAAAACTTTGATTTACTATAGTGATAACTTTGACACTTTGAAAAACTTTGATAAAAACTTTGACACTTTGAAAAACTTTGGCGAAAACTTTGACACTTTGAAAAACTTTGACGAAAACTTTGACACTTTAAAAAACTTTGGCAAAAACTTTGACACTTTGAAAAACTTTATTGAAAACTTTGATACTTTGATAAACTTAATTGAAAACTTTGACACTTTGAAAAACTTTATTGAAAACTTTGATACTTTTAAAAAAATTATCGAAAACTTTGACACTTTGAATAAAAAAACTTTATCGAAAACTTTGATACTTTGAAAAACTTTATCAAAAACTTGGATTATTTAACACTTCGAAAAACTTCATCAAAAACTTTGAAAAAGTTTATCGAAAACTTTGATACTTTGACATACTTTATCGAAAACTTTGACACTTTGAAATACTTTATCGAAAACTTTGACACTTTGAAATACTTTATCTAAAACTTTGACACTTTGAAAAACTTTATTGAAAACTTTGATAATCTAACACTTAGAAAAAGTTTATCGAAAACTTTAAACTTTGAAAAAGTTTATCAAAACTTTCAACTTTGAAAAAGTTTATCGAAAACTTTGACACCTTGAAAAACTTTATCGAAAACTTTGATACTTTGATAAACTTTATCGAAAACTTTGACACTTTGAAAAAGTTTATCAAAAACTTTGACAATTTGAAAAACTTTGGCGAAAACTTTGATACTTTGAAAAACTTTGGCGACAACTTTGACACTTTGAAAAATTTTGGTGAAAACTTTGACACTTTGAAAAACTTTGGCGAAAACTTTGACACTTTGAAAAACTTTGGCGAAAACTTTGACACTTTGAAAAACTTTGACGAAAACTTTGACACTTTGATTTACTATAGTTAACTATAGTAAACTATAGTTAACTATAGTATTTTTTTGTTAGGGTATATAAAGAAAATAAATGAAAGGTATAACAAAATAATTATTGACTATGTTCTCATGCAAAATGCAAATTTAAAATGCAAAATTTGTGGACCCCTATGGCCCCAGGCAGACAGTTTGGTTCGAGGGTTCGACAGAACTCATGTTGCCCTTGACCCCAGTCAGTAAATGAATATTGTTCACAAAAACATAATTTTTCGTCTACTCAACCAATGGCATGCCTCGTGGCGAGTAAAAACTGTATAATTAAACAGTTATATTTTTACCCTTCGCGCCTTTTCAAACAAACCTCATGATCTTCCGTGGTGTGTGTTTCATGTCTTCCTAAAATAGTTCTTGATATTATATTTTTTTGCTTTATTGTATAAAAATTGATCCGTGTTGAAAATGGCTTCCCCTCTTTTAATTTTTATCTTTAACAACAGAACCTTTTTGAGATTTGTTATTTATGCCTCTAAAACAACATTGATATGAAAGTAATCCCATTTTTTTCTAAAGTAGATCTTTTGAATATCTTACGGTTTAGATGATATGTTTTGTACAAGACCTGTATGTATGTATTATATTATGTGATTTATTTTCTTAACATTACAGAGGGTGCAAATGATAAAGCTTTTTAGACGCATTACTAACTCTGAATTGCAGAGAAGAAATAAGGAAAAAAAAAATTTTTTTTACACACCTTTTTCATTTTTTATTTCATCTAAAGTCAATTTAGTGTTCTTTTATATATACCCTTGTTGAAATACAAACATTTTCACAATATTTCCTCATACAGAGGCAGGTTTAAGATACTTATATATAACACTGTTAACAACAATATGAGGAAAGCAACACGATACAGAAATGCACAGATATGACAATGGCCTTGCAAAAGTATGGGTTTGGCATTTTCTTTTTTTTTTAAAGGGGAAAGCCTTAAAAAAAGAATGACATTATTCCTTCAAAAAATATTGAATCCGACGAAGTGCAAATTTGATCTTACATAAAACAAGATCACATTCTTAAAGTTAAGTTCATTTTCTGCAAGCATTTTAGAAAAAAAGTGCTTTAAACCACGTGAGACAGACTGACAGGCAAACAGAGTAACAGACAGACAGACGTGAACGAAATCTTTAGTATCTTCCCTCTGGTTTCAACCGCGATGGAATATTAAGTTTGACACTGTAAACGTAAATTTTCATACAAAATTCATGATATTGTCCATTGTTTTGTCTTCTTATTGAATTCTATAAGCATAGTATTTTTTTGAAATTTATTTTATTTCATTAGCCTTTACCTTTGTAACGTGGAATGAGCCAGGCTTTCCTTTTCAAATCAAAACAAGAATTTCTTCAAAGAAAACAAGAATTTATTTACAAAAAAAAGAAAAGACAATTAACTAATAAATCACACAATCACACACACACACACACACACACACACACACACACACACACACACACACACACACACACACACACACACACACACACACACACACACACACACACACACACACACACACACACACACACACACACACTCACTCAAATGATCGACCAAAAAAGATGTTATTTATAATGAGAGGAAAAAAATAATCAACAGATTTTTTTTAATCAACTGTTTTCAACACGTGTTCTTATAACTCAAACCTAAACATTAAGTATTGTCCACATCAATACGAAAGTCCACACAATTCGGATCAACACTTAAACTTCCGGGGCTGTAGTTAGACCGTTATTTGAGGATTAGTATTTCTTCACGACTGCTAGTGATTCCCTCGCCTGAACATCATCATCGATTTCGTCTACATCCACCTCATCATCATCATAATTGACATCATCGTCACCGACATCGTCATCGACATCATTGAAGTCATCATCACATCATCCAAATCATCATAGACATCATCGTCGTCATCAACACATCAGAGTACCTAGAACACCTCAGCATGGTGCACGGTCTGTTTTCCGTGCAGAAATAAACTAAAATGATGCAGTAATCTTGCTGCAAGTTATAATCACATGCTGTAGAAATTACCAAATCTGTCCTGTCCCTTACAACGTGTTACACACTGGACAGCTCTGCCGGGAATATCTAGCTATTGTTACCTGTCCTGTCAGCCCAAATTCTGCAAGGAATTCTGGATGATTTACCAAAGAGGTGCCCGAAGGGCAATACTTGAAACAAAACAAGGGGTACCATATAGGTTTAAACTAGTGATTGTTACAACCTTTTTAATCAACTCTTGTATAAACAAAGTTTTAAACATATTGGGTTAACTTCAGTTTTTTTTTCACTGGATGACTCATTTCTGATTATATCAATGACGAGTTTTTCAGAGTATGAAAACGGAAGTTACAAGGAAAGAGAAATCAATGGTCTGTAACCATGTAACGCATATTCATGAGCATCGATTATTCGATGAATTGATTGTCTGTATTCTGAACATGTTTTATCGCATAATTAATGCAATTGGATTATTAACAAGTTTTAATTACCACAAACTTGAAAAGCATATTCCAAATCATGTAATTTACCGCATCTGGCGGGTGTCACCGGTCGGCAGGGGATGCTTACTCCTCCATGGCACCTGATCTCACCTCCAACGTTTTGGAGGTGCGTGTTTGCCTTGCCCTATTTTGTCTTGTTCAATTGACTTTTATTCTTGAATACTGTTCGTTATCTCTATATATTTCACATGAGCGCTCTGAATATATTTGAAGCAAATAAATGACATTTTAAGCAAATTTATATAATTTATTAATTATGTAGAAATTATACAAACCTAAATATGTAACAAGAAATTTTTGTGTCAAAATCAGAATATCCTTTTTCAGCAAAAAAAAATTTCATTTTTAGCTTTAAAATTAACAAATTTTTCACAATATCTTTACACATTATATCA